ATTTCTAGAGGTAATTCGATGCGGGGACTTCGAATCTCAGGTCTGTTGGGTGACCATGGCTAATGACGGGTGGGTGAAGAGAGGTCTGGGTGGAAAAGTCAAAAAAACATCGAAAACTGATTTTTCACGGTTTCCATTTGTTTTTCCGGTAAATGTGAAGAAAATGCATTTCTACGAGAAAGAGCTAAGCGAGTCCTCGGAGGCGCGTTACTTGTAGATTTTTTCTTTAAATAAATATCCAACTAATAGACAAACAACAGGCTGTTGCAGATGTTATCGGACTATTTTTCCCTTGACAATAATCTAATATATTATGAGGTGAATTATTTACAAATCATTCATAGTTCTTTTAAATAAGTTTTAAAAACAACGAAGTATGTAATGTGAATGACTTACATATAGGTCCAGTACAACTAAGTCCTACCAAAGAAACAATTACTAATAAAATTAAATATTGAGATGCCATTTGATTTTTAGAAGTATTTTTTTATGTGTAATAGATGTGGTGAACGTTTATTTAACCGAATGAATGAATTAACAATGAACAACTATATTTATCATCAACGAGATCAAACGGCTGAGAAAGAAAGCGAGAGCATAGAAATAGAAAGGTTAAATGATAGGAAGTGACCGATGGATATGCGCATGTACAGCGGTCATGTTCGGTCAAGAATATGTAAGAGGTAGTGATGCATGCAACCCGTCACATCAAATTCGTAATTGAATAATTCATCAAGAAAGGAAGTTTTCGTCACATACTATTAGTCATAGCATTTTTTTTTCTGATTGATTGAGGATGTTCCTCGAAAATGAATACACATTGTTAAGGATGAAATAAGTTATTACAAAATTTCCCTATTTCTTTAAACGATCCATGAAATCGTTAAGTCATTATAAACAAAGCAAATATTTAACAAACAAATAACGATAAAGATTTTATAAGACTCAAAAAATTCAATTTGATATTGTGATTAATATTTACGTTTTAAAACATCAAAAATCATGTAATAATATTGATTGATAGAGAGGCTAAATTTTCCCTATCACTATACTTGTACTGGCATTCTCGAAAATCTTGTTAATTATAGATTAAAATTTTTCATATTTGATCATTCAAAGTTTCAAAAACAATAAATTGTTGGTATAATCTCTATGGAATTAAAATATCGAATACAACGAAGTTATATGGTCGTAAAAAGCACTTGTTCATAAATCTCTTTATTAAAAAATGTTATTTCTATGCTATCTGTGGGAGTATATCGGTCATAATCTATAGGATTATTTTCCTATTCCTATATATACATACCTCAATATTCCTCTAACATCATAGACTCTGCTTTTGTAACCACCCCATGCTCACCCTTATGTTGCGGTGTCTAGTTATAGATTTGTATTTGAACTAACTAAACAATTCTTGGATTAGGATGACTGTTTGTCAAATCAAAGTTTATGAAGAATAAAAATTCGATGGTAAACCTTTCGCTACTTTTTACATTCTTCCAACTGACTATCGTCATTTTATCCTGTGGCATTTTAAGTTTCGTGATTTTTATTTTTAATGCATTTTATCGGTAAAAAGTCATTGTTGCTTTTGATTTTCTACCAGTAAGATTTTATTTACTCTTTTTTTTGCTTTTTATTTCAATTAGAAAAAATATGTTGGTAATTCTTTCTCATAACGAAATGATAGACGAACGACGATTTCAAACTGTTCTTTCCAACTATATTAAATCAAAAGGGAATTTTTTCTGTCAAGAATTTAACGATAAATTATCAATAGTTACATGACTTCTCAATCACTGTCTAGACAAAACTTGGCGAGAGTATAAAAGTGTACTATTTTCAGTAGTTAGACACGTATAATATTTCATAGCTTCGAATACAAAAATTCAACAAATAATGCTCATTCTATTGAGTAAGTTTTGATATATTACGCTTCAATGAATATCATAAATACATATGTTCATTTTATTCATCCAGGTTTTATCTTATTGATTTCAGTCAATACAGTTGATAGTTTTACTGTATTAGACTTGTCGATGGACAGGAACGATTTAATGGAAAATTCAACAAATCCTCCGTCAATAAATAAGCAGACGGATTCATATACATTCTCTCAGAACAGTTCGATAATTATACAAAATACTAGTAATGAAACATTTTTCAAAACGACAACAACAACAATTAGGAATGAAATTTCAGAAGGTCTATCCAGAGCACAACAAGTCAAAATAGAGACTCCTTCTACTACATACGATTCAAGTTCAAGTTCCAGTTCAGGACTATCGGCTGGAGCTATTGCTGCAATAGTTATTAGTGTCGTATTTTTTGTTTGTTGCTCCTGTATATGCGCAGCTTGCAAGAAATCTGGTTATTTGAAAAACTGGCGGAAATGAGGCTAAATTTTTCATTATATTTATTCCGGATTTTACACTACATGGTTTTTGAAAAAAAAAACAATTGATTTTAAGCATTTTATTCCTGAAAATATACAAATAATATTATTATACTTTTCTTTTTTTGTTGCCAAGTGTGTTCTTATATATCTTTATTCTCAATAAACTAGCATAACTTCATATTCACCTATTTTATATGATAATCGAGAATTAAAAGTAAAAAAAAGGTTATTTGATCATGAAATCATTCTAAAAAAACATACAGATGTAACTATACACATATGTATCTATCGACAATATTTATCTCGTACACATGTCATATCTAACAAAATACAGTCAAAAACATGATGATGAATCAGGGTATGTGTGTGGGTAACCGAAGAACAATGATCAACATTCACACCCATCCTAAGGGAATCTTAGTGAACGCCTTTATGTGCAATAAGAATCGTTTTTTTCAGTCAAGATTCTTATTTAAATCCTGGCAAACTAAAATCTACAAGTATCATATCAGGATCTTGATGTTTCCTCAGAAAAAAAGAAATTCTTGCAGGATCCATGTCCAATCTAAAAATGTAACTGTGAATAGTTATGAGCATACAAGATGCAGTAAATTTTGAGAGAAAAAAAAATTATAATATACGCAAAGATTAAAAGGCGGATATCACGCAAAGAAGAGAGACATGGATGCAAATAAAGAAAGAAAATAGAGAACTGCATTTTAGAATGAAGCGGCGACGGAAATACCAATAAATGAAAAAAAAATAACGCATTAGTATACTTAGTTTCCATCAAACTCGTCAAAATCGATTGTTTCATATTTTACTCAAGAAAAGTTTTTTTAGGAAAACTCCAGTTTGAAACCGGAATTAATGGTCAGACTCTTGTGACTCAAAAAAACGAC